ATTTGATATAACAATCGAGTTTGCTAATATTAACGATCTCTTGAGACGATCGTTACAAATTTATTACGTGATTGCTCTTGGTATATATTATACTTGTAATTGTTTTAACTTTCTCACTTAATAAGGTTTCAATGAACTTAAATTTCTAAGTAAATTAGTAGTCATGAAAGAATGTTTTTATGAAAATACGCCTAGAGCCTGAAGGCTAATAGAAGCCAAGAGTATGGCAATTGGACGATGTCCAGATGTACAGAATATTCAAGTGATCTAACAAGTCTTGGTTAAAATGACTTCATTATGTAATTTGCATAAATTCCAATTGAAATTAAGTTAAAAAATCCACGCGAATACTAAACTATATTACCAGACTTAACATAATATGCAATAGTTCATTTAAAAACGAGCTTTTGGGAGAATAGCCAACACCAAATGTATACGGTTAATTCAATACAACTCAATACTAATGTATACTTTCTTAAAATGTATTGTAAAAACAATATTAAATAGCGGCGTTAATCTTAAAAACTCCGTTAAGTGGTTTTATGGCGCTTCTGACAAATACTTCCTTAACCTTATGACGCCTATAAACGCTTTTGTCAGGTTGGCATTTTAAGGAAATTTCCCCTCCAATGTCGCTATTTACAGCTTTTCAAGTCGTCGCCTTGTCCCCGGCTTACAAATTACTGGGATTCATTTACTGAATAGCTTTTATATTGAAAAATATAAAATAAAAATATCTGATATAATATGAACTGGTATAACTACAAATTTGAAACAATAGTTTATAAAAGAAATAAACTAAAGCTGTGTTTTCAATAAATCATTTCTAAGAAAATAAACGATCGAAACAGTATATGTGATGTTAAGCGTTCCCCGGGCTATTGACGTACACACTCTGAAGTTATAGCTCAAACAACATATTCTCAGAAATGATAGTACACTTATACAGCATACCTGGAATTTATCAAAAGTTTATTTCGCATCAAATATAAATAAAATGTATCACAAATAATGTTACTTTTTTTTCTTTAATTAACGTTTATTTGTAAACTAACAAAATAAACGGTACGTAATTAAATAAAGAGAATAACTATTTATACAGCCTAAGTATATCAATCGTAAATTATTACTCACACTTAATTTATAACACACGTAAATTAAAAAAAAAGTTTTTGAAATTTCGTTCAAAGTACTAATATCTCAAAGAGAATCTAAACTAAATTGAAATAGCGTGTCTATTAATAGGTTATGAAACAAACAGTAGTTAGTAGTTTGTGACAGTAATCCAAGGCAGGGAGTGCAACCGGGCGCGCCCTCATCACAAATTCTCGAGGGCACTACGACAAATGTAGGCCACCAAGTTCCCGCTATCCGCCACTAGAATATTGCTTTGTCACTTGGCGACATCTCACAGCTTTCCTAAGCCCAAGTAATTGGAAATAGTTGAAATAGACGAGTCGAAGTAACATCGCAGCGTGGACCCGGTAATGTTATCGAACGGCATCTAAACATACTGTTCATTCTTGAACAAAATCAAATTAAATGCTATATTAGAAAACTTTAAAACCTGAGATAGTGTAACAACAAAGCAATACAACCACAGCACAAATCACGCGTATAACCCAATACTATGCATAATTTTTCTAACTTAAGTCCGACTCAAATATTAACTTCATGCGTAAATCCTATACTCCCATAAAGTAAGCTAACGTAATAGAAGTAATCTCATAAAACTAAGTAAGGACGTTTAGTCCTCGAGATCGTGCAAAAGTTTTCTCCACTTCATTATTATTGAATTTCTTGTTTTGAGCTTGTCACAAATCCTCAATAAAGCGGTGAATTATGTATAAAATTTATTACATATTTACGAGACGTGATCTGATTTATGGCCTTATTTATGAGAAAATTTATTAAAACAGAATCGGTGTCGAATCAGAAACAAAGATAAGAAAGATAGGTAAAGAACATAAGTACATGAATTTTATTTACCAAGAATCTGCCATTACAATTAATTATTATATTAAGAAACTAAACAATCGTTTAATAGCTGGATAATAATGAGAATGTAAAGATAACGACATCCGAAATAATGTTCTATCATAATAGAGTAAATTATTGGCTATATGGAATAAACAATCGATAGCGAGGCGCATGCCGGCATATTATTGTTATATTTAGTATGCGAGCCGTGGTCTCAGTTGCCGCCATCTCTCGGCTGGCTCCGGCGATGCAATATGTAGAAGTTGCTACGTTGCCTCTACGCGTTGCTACAAATAACTACTACCAATGTGTTCGCTAAAATATTGTTATTCTGTATTGACTTAGTTCTTTTTTTTTCAAACCCGCGAAAAGTTGCTCAACCCGACCAATTGATACTTTTAAAAATTCCATATTCCAGAGAAAATCAGAAAAGCGACAGAGCCATTGAATCGATCAATAATACCATATGGAAAGCCTATCTTTAGTCTCCACGATTTAATTTACTTTTTTCATTTTTTTTAAGTCTCATACAATTCATTCTAGTATGTTTTCTGCTTATGACAAAACATTTTTATAAGCAACTTAACAAAATATACAATCGGATTATCGCTCCCACATTTCGTAATCTTTGATTTGTTACGCGCTATATCGAAGTACGAAAGGCAACTTGGAATAGATATAGAAAGGGACTCGTTCATTTATATTCTCGACGCGTAAACAAAGATAACAACAATTTTACGAGCGACAAGTAGTCTGTTCGACGTTTTAGTTCGACGTTATACAGATTCGTGTCGAATATCAGTTTCTTGAAGCAATTTTAGATGTTTTTTTTATATTTCACCGTGAATATTTTACTTAGGTACGGTAGGAGCTGGAAAATATATCAAAAGAACTGGTATACTCGATGACTAAATCTATCATAATGTTTTGGATTTTATGAGAATAATTTGATTTAGTTATATTCTTTTTAAGTCTTAAATAACATATTAACTTTATTAATTATACTAGAATATATGCGTTAGCGAATATGCGCATAATTTGTATATTATTATGGGCATATTAGCGAATGCATATTTATTACATCGCTAATATAGACTTAACACTAGTTCATTATAGTATGTGTTCTTGTGCTTACGAGCTAGGTAAGCATTAAGCTGATCTAAAGCACACTATTGTGCACGTGAGACAGATATAGGGATGAGAGGCTTAACCGGATTAAGCCCGAGGCGGTTGATTATGCCGCCACTTGATTTACGATGACGCGATATTCCGAGAGCCGGAGAGTCCCGGGGCGCCGGCGAAAACGAACAATTTATAGTGTCGAAACACTCGATATAATCAGGCCAGCAAAGTGGACAAGTGTGAAATATGAGACCCCACTCTGTCAGCATTCGAATAGATGAGGGTCGCTGGATATTATTAGTGTAACGACTCGTTTTAGAAATGAAAGTCGACATGGCACGCAACGCACACGCTCGGGAATGCTTACGCCAGGAAACAGGCTGTTTGTATGCGGGTCGCGACGGTGATTAGCCTTAGGTAAAGACACCTTGTAGCCCAGCCAACCTTCAATTGAACTCACGAACGATTTCAAGAGCCTTCGCCTGCTATTACGCCTTTTCATTAAATGAATCGAACTGAATCTAATTTGTAACGTGAAAGGAACTGTAAAATGCTTCTTTTATAACCAAAAACTCCGTCTAGAGAATCCAGACAGTAATAATAGCGAATACGACATTTTGTCTAATTTACATTTTGAGATAATTTAACAACACTTACAATCTACAAGTTCAAGATTTCAAATACGAACTTAAATATTAAACGCAATAATTGTAGAATTGCAAATATTTGGTAATAATTGGTTTCTAAAATTTAATTTAATTCGGATTGTATCTGTATATATGTACCCGTTAAACAATTAAATACATCATAAAATATGTACTGTTACTTACTTAATATAAATTCCATATTTACATTACAAACAATTTCTCGCAATGTTAAACAACTTAAAAATTTATGATGATTAAAAGGAAACATTATGTAATAGCTTTATTTATTTATACAAAATTGCTCTTCCTTTCTTGAAAGCTAATTTCTTTGTTCAGATAAATTATGTTACGGCTTTATGATAAAGTAAAAATTTACGGATAAGGAGAGCGTACTTTCGTATTAATTTTGTCGTAATATTCCGTCAGATTCACATAAATAATGCAACAGCCCTGACTGTCGGTACAAATTATGCACGATCTAAGAAGTTTTATTGTGTTATAAGAACTTCCTCAAACCCGTGTTTTTAAAATAATATATGTTCGCCACAAAAACGTAAATAAGATTTTATAAAACATTTTCATCCCATGAACAAAGTAAATTCAATCACCAATTCCATTAAAATAATGGCAGTTTTATAATAATCGTCGGAAGAAATTAATGAAATTGGCGAACCGTTGAACTTATAAAAGTCAATACGTCATTTTACAAGCCGCAGTGCTTATAGCAGATTTCGAAGCTTCAATTGCAGACTATCGCGATATTTTTCTGCATCACAGCGAATAGCGATATTTCAATACGCCGCTGTGACGAAAAACAATGGAGTGCTATTTGACATAGGAGCTAACATGCGCGATCGATACCCGTTAGCGTCGGTACTTGTACTTTACAATTGTAACTCAAAAAAATGGTACTCAAAATTTGTTTTTAATTTCCAAATAAACGAAGACATTAATAGATCGATCAAATTGTTACAATTAATCTTGTTTTAACCAAAACTTCCTTCACATTATATACAAATAACCTGGATTTTATACATTATCCATAGCCACAGGTAAGACTATGTAGGATAAAAAAATCACGTAAACTTGGGTAAGTAGATTGTCACAAGTTATAAGTGAACATTGTTATTGGTAAGTTCATTTAATATTTCTAAGTTTTCCTGCATCACTTTCTTCATACATGTTAAATTAGTATGCTTCCTTGAATACATAAATAATGTAAAAACCCATGAATTACATAAACAACCGTACCTGAATTCGGTTGATTGTCGGAGTTAGGGCGGGCCGAAGGCGCTCCGTCGCGTGCCTCCACCTCCAACGCGTATGCTCCCTGCTTCTCCCTGTCGAACACCACCTTCGTGAAGATCTCTCCAGTCTGCATGCTGATCTCGAAGAAATCCTTGCCCTCGTTGCGTGGAGAATCCACGATATAATAGTACACCTAAAACAAGATAAATAATAAATAAATAACTAAGGTAACGAAATTCTTTTACACTAAGGAATTCACCAATACCTTTCTTTCGCAGAATAACTTATGTAGATGTTTACTTTTTCTAATCCCTAAGGTGAATGTGTTCGAAATACGTTAAGACATAAATAAGTAAAGACAAGTACGCACTGTTTTTATTAGCTTATCTCATTATTAGTACTAATGAGATCCAAAAAATATATTCTATTTAGTAATATGATGACTCAAATATAAAAGAATTTTACGATATATTGCCAGTAGCATTTTCATGTGTTGTAACTGGAATATGTTTTATGAAATATGAAAGCTTTAATCGTATATTTTATAAACTCGCTTGCTTTACCTCAATCATTCGACATCGTATTTTGATGAGTTAAATGTGATTTACTAATTAATAAGCGGAACGGAATGTAAAACATGTTTGCATTCTGTTTCAACAGCTTTGTAATGAATGATAATTTGTAAACACAATTAATTAAATGTCGGTCAATTTACAAACTTTAAAAACAAATGAAAAATTAAATAAGCAAAAAATAAAAATAAGAAGATAAAAACAAATTCAATTCCCATAAAATAAATGAGGATTATTATTACCTAATAACTAAATTGTACACTCCTGATAATTTATAAATAACAATTATACTCAAAATAGCATAATCGTTATGACTTAGTATTCAAAATAGAGGTTACGTTTATTATAACCGTAGCATTAGCCAGCGCACCATAACCGGCGAGTAAATTCGAATCAAATATTCAACACTACCCCGGAGGATTTCAAGTAGCCTGTGATATGTAAATCAGTTGTGCAGCCAGACTCACTTGCTCTAGGATACATATGTCACTTAGTGTAAATGAATTTTGCAGTCCAGGTAACCTAATGCTTGCGTCGCTGGCCAATCTGTGCTGTATGCTGTACCAATTAGAGGATTTTGTGAACTCTGACTTCGGATACTTGCAGTTTAAACATTTTAATCTAATTAAACGTTTAAAATAGAGACTTTATTGTTATAATTAACAAGACTAGCATTTGAACACGATCATTTCTTTATTTTACCGTTAATAAATAGAGACAAATTAACTTTTAGTTTTTTAATGTTGTTAATGAAATATTCCATGAATAACAATCATTTTACTGGAGCTATTATTTTTTTAATTTAGTATTCTTTAAGCCATTGTTCATCAATGTGAATTAACGGCTTCAATGTTTTAATTAAGCCCCTTGACAATTCTCAATATTGCGAATCTGACTGTTTACGAATGGCTTCGTTAATACACGAAAAATGGATACCGCAAATCCTTTGTGACAACCCATTGAGTTATTATTTGCAAATGAAGAATTTATTGTAATAAGATCAATGGAGCTTGAAATCGAGAAAATATAAGCGACAAATACAAAATGTAAAACTGGTGACGGTTTTAATTATAAACGTAAAGTTTAAACTACGTTCACTATACTTCAAACAAATTTACGACCACGCTAGAGATAGGAAAAATGGAAGACTTTAGAGGAGGCCTATGTCCAGGGACAAGCTGTAGATAGTGGTTTAAGAGTCGCCAATATGTAAGAAAAAATAGATGTAGGTAAAATGTAAATTTAAAAATAGACTTGCATAAAAAAAAAATCAATTGTACAATCTTCAGCAATAAAGGCTTTATTATTATTATTATTATATGCTTATTACCGTAGGATACTTTTTTTCTAGATAAGATCGTAATCATCAACGACCATAGGTATCCGCAATAACTGCAGAGGCAGTAATCAGCGACTAAGAAGGTATCACCTTTTGGCTCGGTTTTTGAAGTATGTAACCTCAGTCGAAGCTGTTTGAAAATAACGAAATGTACTGTGATTCCCTTGTTCTGTTCCATATTTACCATTCAAGTAAAATTTAAACTATGTATTTGAAATGTCAATTATACTAAGCCACGAAACCAAATATTTTGAAATTGAAAAAGTTTTAATAGTTCGTCTAACTCTCACAAACAATCCTGGAATTATTACATTATTTTTACTTTAAGCTTATAAATTTGAATATAAAAAACTTAACAAAGAGAGCATTAAATATTTTTAAATTAAATGTAGCAGCTGAGAGAAGAAAAGTTCTACTTGAATTAGTAATTAAACTAATTTCATAACTAAGAGGTCAAACTTAAGAGCGTTGTGTTAAATTAACGCGATTCGAACCTGCCTAAGTGTTATGCCTAATTCAAATATTTCAACATCTCACGGCATTTATACTCGTTTGCTTGAATTGCCTGAATTCTTGAAAGCAGTTGAATTATATCAATAAACATTAGAAGGTTATCTTTTGGCCTCTGGCTTATGCCAAAACTGTTCAGAGAAAAAACACTAAATCAAATGTCTATGTAGATCGTCACGAAAAAGTCGACTTATTTATTACGTTCGTAAAAACTACACATTAATATACTCGTAGGAAACTATACTCTCTTTAATAAGATCTCGGGCTTTTCAGGATTAACCTAGAATTGCTAACAAACATTTTACCTAAATCAAATTGCGTTTTTTACTATTATACATTTAAACATGTTGCAGATAACATTACCAAAATTAAATTGCAAACGGACGTCTACTGTTTACTTGTATATAAATTCACGGCCTATATAGATAAATATAAAACCTCCGCATCTATTTCAAAGCCGTAAAAGAGTATCGTAAAAGTTACGATCCACTTTTGTTTCCTCGATAAATTAAAATAACGTAGTGGCACTAAGTTGCTTTGATTCTACAATAAAAACCGATTAATTAAATATTTATTAACATGTATGAATTACTATTAAACATACGAATTTTATTTGTTGGTTAGTAAAAAATGTTGGTAAATATCCAATACACGAACAAAAAATTGAAACAACCGTCAAATGCATTTCTATTGTTAAAATAGAGAATTTTTATATATGTATACCTATTGTGCATATTCGTCGAAACGCAGATTAAAAAGTAAAGAGTTTTTATATTTATATAAATTCTGCGGTAAATTAACAGAATTTGATTTATATTCTATTAATGCTGTTACCAATGCAAGCTGTATCTATCTAGTCTATCCATTTTGTAATTCTAAGCTAAGCTTCTTATGTTAAACCCAATTTAAGGTGGAAACGTAATAAGATATTTGCTAAGGGATTAAGACGGCAAACATTTGTTGGTGAGTGTACCGAACAGTTGCTGACTTGTTTGGCGTTGGGTATTTACTTATCCTCGGAAACAAGAACACGTCGTAAATCTTATCCAACATGTTAGTGTAAGAACATTTGAAACATACATCTAATGAAGCTGAAGCGGGTTTAAATCTGTAATTAATACGATACGATAATTTCAATATCAAATGTATAACTTAAATCCAACAGTAAAATTACATCAGATTCAAATTTGGTTAAAATTTAACTCCATCTCTAAACATTTAAACAGTGGTAAAGCCCGTTTTAACATCTTCGCACGAATGGGCCGGCTCGCCCGGTGTAATACCACGACCACACAGAAAACAGGCGTGAAGTGGAAGCAATTCCGCGTTTAGTCTGATGAGTGTGGTGCCGGAGACCTAATTTTAGTCCCTTCCCCTTTTGCACCCTTTTCTTAAAAGGAAAGGATGGGAAGGAAAAATGTATTTGACGGTGTAGGAGACGCATAGGAAGGGGAAATGTCCTCTTTATGTGCGACTCCTCCTCCGTCAATTAAGGGTAGGCAACGCATCTGCAATTGTGGATGTTTATGGGCAGCGGTCGCTTCCCATTTCGGTGGATTCAGATGGCCGCTTGCTCGTTTGCCACCTTGTATTATAAAAAAAATCTTTACTTCGAAATGGTTTTAATTGTGACGATGGTGGGATTCAAACTCAGGTCTTGGGTACAGACAACTACTCGATGTATTGAACAACATATTGTATTAACTTTATACGCTTGTTGGGGACGTTATTGTGAATTTCTTCATGCAAATAACTCACCGTGTGCGGAATGAAATAAAATAACGAAATAATTAAATTACCAAGCTTCGAGCTCTTTGAGGCATTAACATTTTAATATATTGCGATTTATGTCAAAAAGTTTCATTTTATTTCGAGGAGAATTTTCGGCGCCGTTTAAAATGCTTCTTTAACAATAAAATGTATTTAAGTAGCTGTCGCCCGCGACTCCGTCGAAGTAATTAAAGTGAAGAAAGTAGGAACACCTCAAAGTGATAAAATACAGTGAAAGTAAAACATTATAGACAATGTTTAAATAGATTTTTAATTGTTTTATTTCAATTAGGGTTGGCTACAAGCAGGCGGCCCCTGAAAATATTGATAATACAACTCGTGACGACCCTTAGATGATGATAATGTTCATATTGAGTTTTTTTATGTTATGTTTCGTTTTAAAATGTTGATTACCATATAATACATAAAAAGATTATACAATTATATCTTTTTAATAGCAATGTAATGTATCTTCTTCAGATAAATTGGAAAAGTATATCTTAATAATATTAAGAAGCAAAATTCTATCAAAGGCAAGAACAACAGAAACTATTATAACTTTTTTAATCAAAATCTAATCAACCGCAAATGCCAGCTCCACATTCATAGAATAATGTAATTGTATTCTAGCTTCAACATACAAAATCCAATCCAAGACCTAGATTCTTTAACATAAATAAAATGTTTTTGCTCGGACAAGAAACGTTGTTATAGTGTTTTGTTTTTTATTAAATGAAACAAAACAAGATAATGATCCCTTTTATACTAAATTTTTATAATTTCTAATAATTAAATAGACCATATAATTTGATATGAAAGACTTCAAAGGCAAGGTAAAAAGTAATAATAACTTATTTTTTCACGCCCTTTTACAAAATACTTCTACAAAGAAGTAATCTATTTTGAAGGCAACAAGTGCTCAATTGACCCAGTAACTCCATAGAATGCATCCATATTCGAAGAGGAATCAAAATGTAAATGATTCGTTACCTTGAAGCCGTAAATAGAACGATTGTAACGGAATATGGGACAACATAGTTTTCTCATACGTAACACAAAATGCTGTTCAGAGTTCTTTAAAATTGATTAAGTTCCGTTCTTTATAGGTTTTTACTTGTACTTTGAACGCCTTTCAGCAAAAGTTAAGCCCTGTTTACATTATTCTAGTCTATTGAGACATTCCAATCCAGCGATCGCTGGACTGAATAAATTAGGATATAAAAATGTAGTCCTATTATAACTCGTATATAGCCCAGTTAGGTCGCCACTCTATCCACACTAATAAAGGAGTCTTTAGTGTAAGTGCCGATCATTATGGAACCCGCGCCACACACAAATGAGTTCACTCTAAAGTATTCATGCCGTTTGCGTAGGTTAGATAATAGACCTGCTGACATTGTTGCGGTAGACACTTTTACATACAAGGTTTTAATGTATGTTAACTATTATTTACCGTTTACCGAATAGCTCGATTTTATCTATACTAGTATTATAAAGAGGAAAGATTTCTATTTTTGTATGTATTGAAATAACTCAAAAACTGCTGGGCCGATTTTAAAAAATATTTCACTATTAAACGGCTATATCAGTGTGTAACATAGGCTATATTTTACAATATTTTTAATTTCATGCGGGCGAAGTCGCGAGGAACAGATAGTATCATAACTTTTTTTTCTATTGAATGAAACAGTTAAATTTCTTTAATTATTGGTAAGGAGGCATCAATTGTTATATGTCGGTAATAATATATCAAATTACCGATGGGATTCTTCGATGTATATCACACAATAAATGTAGACACTTACTTGATTGTTCGGGAATGTTCCGTCCTTGTCAATAGCGTTGACCTGCGTGACCTTGGTGCCGATGGGTTCGCCTTCCAGCACCGTCTCCTGCTCGCGCTCCGTGAACAGTGGGATCTCGTCGTTGACGTCTTCCAGCATTATGTACACCGTCGTCTCCGAGGCAAGTTGCTGTGCTCCATTGTTCTGTTAGACAAGTATATAATTACCGCATGATGTAAAATTAATGTTAACTCTTTGGGTAATCCTTTATTCACATCGAAGTAATTCATATTTTTTACACGGATCATAATGCTGGACATATTTTTTTACATTTCAAAAATGATTTTGAGTTTCATGCGCCAATAAAAGTCTTTGTGAATCCTTTTAAACATTTTTCGGAATAAAAGTCGACGTAATATTAGTTTCTATGTGTATTCACATATTGCCTGTTAGGATTATGATTGCTTTTTTCGGTTGAGAGATTTGCAGACCATCAATCGAACCCTTGGTCAACATCAATAAATCAAAAACATAACTTTTATAGAACTTTTAGAAATATTTATTCTGACTGATATACGTTCGGTATTAGGAAAGTAATTTGAAAGTTATTTGTTTATGATATAAAACATAGTAGCGTTATTTTCTCATTTTCAGGAATAATTAACAGCCAGAATAAACCTACGAATTATATGCGTCTTCCTTATAATGAGAAAGATGGCGCTTTATCAAATTGGCTAATAAAAATATATGTTAGTGGCGACATCTATCGTGTTACTAAATAATACGTAATACGTTTTGCGTTAACAGTTGCAGTTTAGTACAATAGATGGCGCGGTTATAAAATTTTAGGCGAACTTGTAAGAAACAAGATAAAAAAATATAAAAAATTGATAAATGTTCCTTTTTTTCTGTAACTCTCCCCCGTCAGCTATTGCTTTTTAGCTGACTCTGTCACTTTTATCTACAAAATTAATTACAAATTAAAGTAAATGTTCATATCTTACCTCCACTCGAATAGTCAAATTGTACTCTTTGATGCTTTCGTAGTCTAAAGGATGATTGACTTTTATATCTGCCCACGTGAATCCGTTATCAGATCTTTGTTGCAGGTAAAATGTATGAAACTTGTTTGTTTGAGCCGTAGAGCCGGGCATCAGGCGATAGAACACCGTCGGGTTATTCTCAATCCCAGAACTGAAAACATTACAAATCGATATAGTAAACTTTTATTGAGTATTTAATTTATTTATTTTACTACTTTAGGCACATGACGACATCAAATGCGAAATGATATGACTCTAATTTAATAGGGTTGGCAAAAGTACTCTAAACTCTACTCAAACAGAGTATAGTTAAAATAAAAATAAAAACTAATCAAATGCAGATGAAAAAACAAAAAAAGTATGAATAACATTAAATCTAAAGTTAACTTTGGTTTAAAAAATTAATGGAAATTTATGGATGACAAAGAAAATTATGATCGACGATTATCTTTAAAATACAACAACATACAAAATAATCACATTTTTAATTGCTAATGATCAAACGATTTTGCAGGGATTTATAAATTTCGATCTCTATTAGTATTCCAAAAAACAGTAAGAATGTTTTGAAGTCGCCTCGTGCCACATTTAAGTGCCTCTATATTATATTAGTTAAAGTGAGTTAGTATGGTTTCGTCTTTTTCAACATTTGTAAGTTTGAAATGTGTGTGTTTAGGACGCACGGATAGACAAATAGATGTGAACCAGGCCTGACACCAGTCGACACTCAGTGAGAGATGCACTATAAGGAAACAAAAATTAAATAATAATGCAAATACATCAATAGCACCTGCACGAAATAATGCACATACAACATGAGTTTTCTGAGGTCAATGATCACTATTTTATGCCCTGACTAAATTTAATGCTAAATTGAAATTTACCGAATTCTTTAGAATACCGTAACTGCTTTACAGCTTCACGAAATTATAATCACTAATATCCACGTAATTCTATCGATCGATTTCTAGAAATCATTAATGCTATATCCGCAAACAAAAGCCATTTTTATTTTAACTTAAATAATGCCTATAGCTTCTCAATAAGTTAACTGCAAATATTTAAAACCACAAAAAAAGTAAGAAGAGCAAATCAAATCAATGATGACTATAACTGAATTTATAGAATGCGTCACGGAACTAACGTAAAAAGGTTCTAAAGTAGATAAAATTAACAGTAGTCTTAATAGTTCAAAAGTATTAAAATGAAGATGTTTAAAAAAAAAAGTAAAAAAGCTAAAAAAAAAAACTGAAAAAAAAACAATTCAATGATAAATGATTGAACATTGCCACCTATACAATACTACGAAATAAACATTCATTGTTTATCTGACATGCTACTTTGATCCGTATGGAAAATGTAATAAAACTGGTAACAATATGACTGATGCACTTACGTCTCAGCCTACATGCATACGGATACATTACTTCGATACCTACCAATAACACAAACTGATACACACGTTGCTCAGAAACATCTGCATGTAATGATGTTAAAACATGACGATGTTTTTGAGCAACCGCACATATCTGTTATCCCGTACCATAAAAGCGTGAGCCCTTCTAAATGCACGCCGGTGATTTCAATTAAACCGCATGTGGTCGTGACGATGCGTTATTAATTAACGAACATTTACGTAACAATACTCATCACCAAGTGAGGTAAATAATAACGACATTTGATAACGCGCACGACGCACTAACACCCAAGGCACCGGCCCTCCGCGCTGCCGACCTCGACCTTTTCGGTTTCACTAACGATAGTGAAAGCGAAGGCGGAGAGGCCGGCAGGGCGGCGGGCTCGGAACGGGCGCGCGCGCCGCGGCGTCGCACACTGCGTGCAGGTGTCGGGGCTGCGTGCGGTGCCCGTGCCGAACAGTTAGCCACGCACCTTGCTTTAACGGACACCACTTTGGCACCGACGGGCAAATTCTCTCGAATGTAGATAGGTCCGTATACTGTGTGATCCCACACTGGGGGATTGTTCGCGCGATCCACTACGTCTATCTGGACCTCCACGGTTCTCGACAAGGGTGGAAAGCCCTTGTCTTGGGCCATAGCCTCCAACTTGTAAGTTTCTCGCTATTGGAGAAAGAGTCGATGGAAACAGACAAAACCACGTCGTTAGTAGTGTTAAGGAGTAGAGGAGCGGCGGGCCGAGGCCCGCTGCGCCTTATACCAACCTTGCTTTCACACTGGTCACTACGGTACCCACTGTGACATTCTCTTTGATGTGAACGGGGCCATACGTGGACATGTCCCAGATGGGGGGTTTATTGTTCCTGTCTACCACGTCTAATTCAACGTCCACGTCTGCAGAGGAGGGCGGGTCGCCTCTGTCGGAGGCACGCACGCGCAGTCGATACCTGTCCCGCTACAGATACACGGGTCAAAGGTCAGCGGGGACAAAACAAAACATAACATAACTCAAATATAAACACATAAGTACTCATCGCTAAGAAGAAATTAAAATAATAACAAAAAGAAATATTCTCTTTCAAAATAAAAGTATTAACTAGGTATTAGTTTTTAATGTAAACTTAACGAAAAATTAACACACATTCGTCGCCCACACATCCACAAAGCAAAACTAAAACAATAGAGGAAACAGATTTCACTACATAATAAGTATTGAATCCACTCACATCGTCTGCTGTCGCGTCCAAGCGTCTTTCGTACGTACTTACAGTTGAACATTTAGCCAATATCAGATGGTGCAAGAAATAAAATGGAAATAATATTGTTTACAGTATTATACACTCTCTTGTATGTACAATAAGGAAAAATATAAACTGTACATTATAATACTTTTATACAATAAAAACTAAACTAATTGAAAAATCAAATAAAACTTAAGGAAAAGCAGGCAAATGCATGCAGCTCTGCATACAAGACATGGCGGAAAGGTCAGCTTGTCATAGGAATGCTTAATGACCTCTTTATGACTACAACGAAACGACACTCATTAAAATGAATATATTACAAACGATGGACGTTACTTTTAACTGTACAAATTTTGAGAACGTTGCCCCTTTCACAGAAGGAATAATGTCACAACTGGCTAAATGGCCAAACTGCCTTGGGGGCAATCTGACCATTTCAAATATAAACTAACAATTATACAAATTATAACAATACTGGTGCCCTGTAAAAAATTATGATGATTATATTTAATGATATCATATGGAAATATATAGAATGTTCTGTAACATGAGTAGTCGTCTAGCGCAGCGTGGACTACGCGACGGCGCCGACGCGCGCCCGCGGCGGACGGGCCGCAGCGGGCGCCGGCCGGCGCGCGACAAACAAAACTTGAGGTTAGTAACAAAACATGTACGTACATATATAATTTATAGGTTTGTTCCAAAAGCGTAAGCTTCTCAAATTAATCATTCGAATATGTAATTAATAACAATAAAATAAACTTTGAAACTATTTTGTGCGAAATATACATATGTGCATTTACAGAAACTGTACATGTTTTAGAACTAAACGAATCTCAATAGTGAAATATTTACAGCAGTATTGTATTTAATTATAAATATTTTACACAAGTCTCTGTTATCGTTAAGTTAGTAGTTTATGCAAGATAGTGCTGCGGAAATAAATCTTAACGAAGATTTAGTGCGGAGCCGACGCTGGCGGCAACTCAAACTAATTGTGCTGCAAGAAGAACAAGCCCCCGGCGCGGCGGCCCCGCGCCCCCTTTGCCCCTGCGCACCCCCGAGCGCCCCCGGCGCCCCTCGGGCCGCCGTTCAATGGACAACTACTCCTCACAGCCAGGATTTACCCCTCTCCACAGCAATTTACAGCAGCAGACAATTTAGAACTATTTACATGTAAATAAACTTAAAGTGTGTGCCAATTGAATCCTAGGGTCTGTAGGTAGCACTCATCCACCAAACTTTATAGTTAGGTTGATCCCATTCACTCATCACTCGTAGCATTACACTTTGTGAATCAATGAACATGAATATTATAATAATACTTACGTCCAAAGGTTTTTTAAGTACGATCCAACCCGATTCGGGTTGAATTTCAAAGTAATCTATGTCGGCTGGATTATACGGCGCAGTTAATGTGTAAACTATTGCACCGTTATTGTCGGCGTCTTCATCGGATGCGGAAACCCTCAGTATATTAGTACCTATACTGGCGTCTTGTTTTACATTTTCCACATATTTCTGCAATATGTACAGTTTTTTATCAAATGTTAACTTAAGATTTCTAACTTATTGAAGCGAAATACTACTAGTGATTTCATGCATATTTGTGCGGAATCTAGTAAAAAGATATTTGGACTTACTTGTCGATCGAATAATGGAGGGTTGTCATTAACGTCAGTAATTTCTACTGTAAACGAGCAGACACCTTCCAACGATGGCTCGCCCTGGTCCGTAGCTTTTACTGTGACGGAAACAAATTTTCCATCGTCTCCCTCCCTATCGAATACCTTATTCGTGGAAACTTCGCCAGTTTCTTCGTCCACCGTAAACTTTGTACCTTTCTGGTTGGGTTGTTGCACAATTGAATACTTAACTTGCCCATTTACACCTTTGTCTTCATCAGTCGCGTGTACTTTTATAACAGGACTTCCATTTGGAGCACCCTCTTCGACTTTAGGAAAGTATGTTGGACAATCTTTGAATATAGGCTTGTTATCGTTTACATCCGTTATGAAAACAACTACAACAGCAGTAGACGTATGAATAGTCGTATCTCCGTTAACGCAACATGCTCCATCATCCATTGCCGTTACATTCAGTTCGTACTTATCCCTGTCCAAGGATATAGGTTTATTGTGGAGTCGAATTACTCCAGTGATTTCTTCAATGACAAATTGTCCAGAACTCGTCCCTCCACCGACAAATCCAAAGCGAACATTGTCACCATCCTTATCTGACGCTACAACTGTCGTTACTAATGTATTTGGCCCAGCGTTTTCGTCGACATTTGGTGTGTAAACTTGTTGGGAGAATTTTGGTTCTTCGTCATTTTTGTTTTTAGTGTAAACACGGACTGTGGCAGTTCCTGTTTTTGCCGGTTCACCCTTATCTCGAGCGGTAACAACAAATTCATAATATGCGTTGTTATTATCAGCATCCAGCTGCTTATTGTTTGTTATTATACCATTGTTGTCAACGGCAAAGTGGTCGTCTGAAAATTGGATAAAGCAAATTAAGTAAAAATCTACAACACACATCTGCAATTATAATTTGAACAATTTTACGAAAAATGGTCTATCAAAATATTGATGTAAAGTACATCGGAAGGAAGAGAATTGTAAGAAACCAGAAAGGATCTAACAAATTGCATAATTATAACTTTTTTTAATATCATGATTATTTTTTGTATATGATTCGAACGTACCTGATACTAAATATTCAATTTCTGCGTTCTTCCCGGAGTCAGCATCCATAGCTTTGACCTTGAGGATGCTGGTGCCTTTCGCGATGTCTTCGTCCACGTTGTGCGCCTGATAATCTGGCAGCTCGAACTTGGGCGCGTTGTCGTTCACGTCAGTCACGCGAATTGTTAACTGTAATTAACAAAACCAAATACATTAAGAATTAGCTTCAAACTGTTATCTTAAAACAAAATGTAATGTATTCGCAAGCAAAACTTTCTATTTCAGAAGTTCGCAAAAGTTGAACAATTTATTTAAAATTGTTATTTGATAACTCATGATGGGAAACTGATGCAAAAGTAGGTAGTCATAATACTATGACCACTTACGTTAACCAAGTAATACTGTAGTAAATGTTATTATTCAATTCTACCCACAATTTCTCATGCGTGTCTTAAACGTCCATGTCTTATGGTATAGTTCCCGAATATGAACAGAGAAAAGGTATTATATTTTTTTTTCTTTAAAAGTATTAAATAGATATTAACCTCAACAGAAGTGGAGAATCCACCGGAGTCTTCAGTGGCGGTAACAACCAGGGAGTACACGTGCGGCTGGCGCAGATCCTCGAAGTCCAGTTCCTTCGCAAGCTTCACGATTCCCGAAGTCGGTCCGATGTTGAACGTGCCCGCGCCTTGCCCTTGGGCTTTCAGTGTGTAACGAATCTCTCGATCCGCGAATGATTTCGCTTTCACAGATATTATACTGGAATGAAAATAAATATCGAATTAGGACACTATTGAAAATACAATTATTAAATATTTATCCGTAATATAATAATACAACTGCCAACACAAAGGAAGTATCTACCCTTCTATCTTATCTGTCTTAAGAAACGAACAAAATAAAGTTTGTTCTTCCTAATGCATTGGATGAAATTATCATGCGCATAATGGTGAAAAAAAATATCATAACGGATTCCAACAATAAATGTCAATTCCTAATTTTTAACCTCAATAAATATTCACTAAAATTTGAAACATTTCGAAAGTATGTCGCGCAAAGGTATACTCCGTGTCCAACATAAACAGACACTTTCAGTGTGAAACTCAAACGATTTTATGTTCCAAAAAGCGGCCGGAGAAAAGTGTCAAACAAATAAACATCACATATAGAGCGTGAATGCACTTACTCCGAATCTTTCTTTTGGTTCTCGGCTATCTCTGTTTCATAGTTTGAGAGATAAAACTGCGGCGCGCGTTTTCCGCCCACAATGCTCAGCCTTTCCTCCGGCGTGGATTGAAACCGCCTCTCGTCGACACGGCCACTCTGAAAAAATATAACGTTTTGTTACTACGAGTATACAATCAATTTAGAATTACTATGCTCTTGTTGCACGAACACTTAATCATAGTAATGGATCGGTAGTTTTATAACAACTGAATATGAACTAATAAATTAATATTAATCTATACTTCAATACTAATATTATAAAGAGAAAAGATTTGGTTTATTGTATGTATTAAAATAACTTAATGTTCCATTATCAAGATATGTTAACACTAAATAACATAGGCTATATTTTTACAATCTTAATTTCACGCGGGTGAAGTCGCGAGCAACAGCTAGTAAATATATTAATTCCATTCTATGAACCCATTTTAATCAATATTAATGTATTTAATACAACATTAAAAACATTACGTTAATTTATTGTTAATCATTTTTAACATTTTCATAAACACTTTCAAGATTTTTTAGGACGTGACTTTAATATCTTGTAAAATTATAATAGACTAGTTTTTAATCTGATCCAATTAGCATAAAAAGATTTAAAATAAAGTTTAAGGACTTGTCCCACCACTAGCTGATAGAGGCTCAGATAGCTTAAAAATGACGTCACTGTCAGATAAGTTAACAAAATCCGATATCTCCATCACACATATTAGATGTCGGATCGTTATCAGACAACTTATGAATTTGGTAGGACTGACAGTTACACAATTTAATAAGTATGCATATGCTCACCTGATCTTCGGCCTTGACATACAGCACGTATTCCATATCTAATTGGAATGGGTCCGTTCCCCTCGTGCGGACGACGCCCGACCTCTCGTCCACTTCAAATCGCCCTCCTGTCCGGTCTCTGACGATGAAGTAGTGAATGTTGTGATCCGTGTCCGGATCTCTGGCTTGTAGAGTGAACACCGGGGTGTTAGGAGCCGCATTCAGTTGCACGACTGTTTGCATCGGTAGAGGTCGATTGATGAAGTACGGAGGCTCGTCGTTAACATCCTTCACGTGAATGATCACCCGTTGATTGTCCGTGTCTGGAATTTGCAGGTTATTTTATTTAAAAAAAAAAGTCTCCAACATTTAAAACAAAGTGTATGTAAAAATAAATTCAATCTGTTGTGAAAATACACTATAAATGTATAACACATATTTGAAATTTCACGCAACTATTCTAGTTAACTTTTTAACAATGTAGCTAAGGTATTTTATGCCGCGTTTTATGCAGAGAAAGGAAATGTTAAAACGTGCATTTCGCTGGCTAAATGCGTACATGAATCTGGTTATATGCATTGCTGCTATTCAGTTAGACAGTGGAATAAGAATTTATATTATTCTACACAATTTAAAGTAAATGGCCTGTTGACAGATATGGAAATAGATTTATTTTATAACGTAGTTGATAAGTTAAATACAATGATACTTACATTTCAAAGCCACTGGTAAGGTAAGCGTGAAAAAAATATATTTAAATAAGTTAGTGGGTATTTATACATAAAACTATACAATTACACAACATAGAAATTGTTACTTCTTTTGTATTTTACAAATAACAAAAGAAGTAAGCATTATTATTTTATATAATACTGTTGTTTTTTTTTTAATGTGAATTAGGAATTATCAAAACTTATGTAGATAGTTTATTAGTAAAATATAGATATTGAGTGTCACAGACAAACCGCCAAATAAACGAAAATTTTAATTTATCTTTTTTTAATATCACAAGTATATTTAATATGAATAAATACGAGGTTACAAACATCATCATTACTAAACGTAGGCAAACTTTTACTGCTACACCGCTTCCGCCTACGGGACGTTTTAGTAATCCCCGAATATAAAAGTTCAACCGGGATAACCATTTTAGTTGATCCACCGTAATTAGTGTTTAATTAAAAAATATCCCACTTTAAATTTGCTATGACACTTTTCGATTTCTTATTATTATTGTCTCAAGCTTATTACTAAATATCTGTTAACTTTTTTTAACAATTTTGGTATATTCTTAAAAGTTATTTGTTAATCTGTGTTATTTAACAGTACTATTTATCTTTATTTAAAACAATATTGTTAAGAAAATATTAGGAAACGAGAGGAATAATGGGCGTTCAGTCGCCAACAAACTCAGTGTTATATATTTGCGTTCTCGCAATGGAGTTCAGTTTATGTGTTTTAAAGTAATCTACAAGTATTGTTAATATGGCCGTCCGTCTACAAATAAATCATTTGTGTCGAAATATCTAACATATCTTTGCAAGAAAATGAGCTTAAACAACTATAACAAAACGAGATGTCTACTTAGAGAAATGCAGGACGGCAAACACTCATGCTAATTGGGTGAGTAAATATAATTTAATACATAATACCGACTGACAACAATATGGGCGAATTCGTTTTGCATTTAGGCCAGAGATTTTGGACGACGGCCAAAATTGTACGTACATACATTCATTATTAAACGTGGGAGACTATTTGTTTTGAGACCGCGTCGCGTCGCAAATCTCTTCGTTTACTGATCATACGTGTTCAGTTTATCTTAAAATGTAGTTAAACACGTCTGCGACGAAATTTCAGAACAACAACAATCAAAGTAGGTACTAAACGAATTAAAACAATAATAAGTATAACGACGGCTCTTGATTTGGACTGTCAGCTGTGATAAGCTAGTGAGCATTTTTTATATAAAAATGGGGCAAATGAGGCACTAACATCAGACAAAAGATGGTTGCCCGCCTTTGCCTTTGCCTTTATTATAATTAAAAGTTTGGATTTTTTATGCATCCACTTTTAATGGTATTGCAACATTAGCGAAACGTAAAGTAATATAATTTAAATAGACCAGGTTAGATGAATCTATTAAAACATCATAATTTTAATAAAACAGTTCAAGACACGTTTTCAAACTTGAAATTACGAAGCTATAATTTAATAACTTGCAATATCAACACGTTCCGAGTTTCCACGTATTTCAATTCCCAGAAACATTGCTACGAAATGTGCAGTTCATGAATATTCCCGAAACTTTTATTAACAAGTCGTATGTATCGGTATGCTTTTGTTTTTAGTTTTTTTTTTGGTTTTTACTATCGCCCATGTCAAGTAAATTTTTTTTTTTTTCATTTCAGTTGTACTGTAAGTTTTAGAAAAACATACTGGCTGATAAATATATTTAAAGTACACTTTATTGTATTTAAAGCATAATTTGATCGTATTATAACTAACTTTTATATTAAAGTCTAACCGGTCAGGCGAACGCTAAACTAGGTCGTGATGCAAAAAGTAATATTAACAAACCATAATACAGTTGCTTGTTTCTCTAAAAATCTTAATTATAAATGAAGAAAATCCCACATACTTCTGCTGTAATTACGTTGTAAATGTACGCTGTAAATCCATCATAAACTTTCGCATTTATTATGTTACTATATGATGAAAAAAAATACTGCTAATTATGATAAACTGTTTTTTTTTTCTAGAAACACCAAACAACTCGCATACCGTAGTAACGTGATCGCGAACGTTTTAAGTCATCACGTATTCAATTTATGTGGGTTAAAACGTACGATCCATGTTATCCATTGGTATTTATTATTTATGGGTTAATTGGGTATCTGACGACACGCAAAAAGGTTTATCATATTGATTTTTGTGAATACCTACAGGGTATCGTTAAATCTTACATTCAATTACAAACAATAATGTTTAATGTTTTTACAAAACATTTTTTATACCTTTTAGATATGAGAATTTTAATCTCGAACGTAATTAGAAATAACTAGTTTTGTCTGATAAATGTAAACTCTTCTATTTTTCTCCTACTCTACCATAATATAATATTTTATATCCTCCTGGGTATAGAATTTAAGTGACATTTAAAAATACATCTTTAAATAAGTCTTTCAGAATTTTAATACACCCTGTATCGTCTTAACTTTGCGGCTGGCAGTTTCTATACATCCTGTATCCTCAAAAATTTAATATGAACCTGAGGTTAGTGGAGCGTGGTCGCTGCATCAGATCCAGCATGCAGTTGGCATCTCGCCAGTGCTATTGATAATATTTGCCATCGCCCGGATAAAAATGCCCCTTTTAACATCAGTTATTGTCGTCTAGGAATTGAAATGTCACAATTTACTCTTCTAAATTAAATACCTGTAACTTTTACTAACTTAAAAACATAATCTTCGATTAACGATATGTGTTGTCGATTAAGCTATATTGTATTATATTATATTTATGCCACTTATTATATTTGAAAATAACGAATGTCAAAATTCCTTGTGTTATTATCTCAAAAGAGATTTTACCTACTCCTAGTGTTGTATAGGCCCTGGTAGAACTTTCGGGTTTTATGTGAAACGTCTAGATCAGATAAGTTTAAAAATGTAATAAATTTTTAATATCCTTTTATAACCTCAAATAATCCTTGTACAATGTTATTAAAGCTTTAAAAATATTACCCAGAATCAAGGTTCTTAAGATAATTAATATTCGTTATCATTTAATAAGTTTTTACTTTTAACTATCTCGCTATTCCAAGCTGTTTATTACCTTTTTTATTTATTTGAAAAATATTACAATTTTAATTAATACTAATGTCTATAATTTAAAATTAAATAGACAAACAATTATTCGAAAAAAAAATTCAATAAATGAATACTGTCTGCATTAAATTCGTAGTAACTTTGTTACATTTTTATTTAATCGCTTTTCAGGATCAATCAAACAAAATCAATATCGAAAATTCAATTTTGATTCCTTGATTGCGAGAACAGAGGCGTAAATGACACTCGTCTGTGCCCGTGAAATACGGCAGGTTTTAATATCGTGTGTAGAGGTGTGAGGGAAGGTGGTAGAGGGATGAAACTTTAGAGTTGTGATCGAGGGGTTGCTAGGGGGAGGGGGCAAACATCTCATCCCATCGTACAGTCTAGTAGTACGCATGCGTATACTACAGCCGCGTGCTCGCCTCGTGGCCACGACGGCCATGCCGAATGAAACTTGACGATACTAGAAACTACGACTGCATAACGTAAATACTATATGTTATGTACTCTTTTTTATTTATTTTACCAATATCTAATTGAACTCTATGTATGTCTATAAAATTATTATTTCTGTTGTAATTGAAATGCAATTGTTAATTTAACAATTTTTGCGAATTCATATATGTAGTCTACGCGATTATAAAAGTATTCCCTTATCAATGTCCCTTCTCGGTTTACGTAGCAATTTGCTCACGATATACAGAATAATCCTATCATATATGCATTACAATATTTACTGTTCCTGAAGGGTAGTTTTGAAGTGATGCGCTCCAATACAGCTTACAATGTGAGCTTGGTGCGCCGCCTCAGGATGAGGTTGTGAAACTTCAATAAGTTTAATACAAGCTTATGCTATTACTATTATGTTTTTATTGAGAGTTTATCTGATGTTTTGATTAAATCTTATGACATGTTTCGCAACACATGGCCATATCTAAGCCCTATTTTCCACTAATATTGATAAGAAAATTTTTTATAAGTAATCTTTGAATTTTAGCAAGAAATATCAAAAGGTTGTAATAAAATCATCTCTCTACCATTAATTTAGAAAGACTTAAATACCCAAGAGAACGTTTCTCATTTCCAAATCCATAAATCTCGAAGATTCGGATGTCACTTCCTTAGAAAGTAACATAATTACCTAATCAATATCCTTCAAACATTTGGAATATCTTTATTAGGATTTAAAAAACGTTTTTTTAAAGCAAATCTTACATCTTCGCAATTTATTATAAAATTCGAATCAATCTAACCACGTAAAAGTTTGCCATAAAATTAATAAGTGAATATTTTTTACTCTAAGTCAATTAGTACAAGTAAAAGATATATTTGGCGGTTACGTCTACGAATTAGTTACCAAATTTCTTTTTTCCGTCGTTGTAAATTCTTTAGACATACCTGAAACGAACAAAATTTCTTATTAATTATAAATTGTTAAAATTAAAACTTAAACTATGTAATTTCTTAACTTGATAGTGCAAATATTGTGACATCGTATTTTACTACAAAGTAAAGTTATTTCCTAAAAACTTGTTCATATAAGTAATGAAGGTAATAGAATCTTATACAACACAGGCTTTTCCAAAGCATACTTAGTATCTCAAGTAACTTATAGCTAAACATTAGTGACATAATAGCTTAATTGCAACATAAAGTGTACCATATAAGTTAAGTCTTTCGAGCTCATTTGTAACACTAGAAACTTTAAGAGACACTTCATCTTTGTCGTTTCATAGGATCAAGTTGCACAATACAATGTGTCTTTAACACAACTTATCGAAATAAAAAAGTAAAACAAAATTAGATACAATTAAAATACATAATAAGTGAACATCAAACAAAAATAACATAAGTAAATATAGGTAACTAAAAGTGTATGCACACATGTAAAC